TATGGCCTAGGAACATCTTCGTAAGGTATTTGTAATTGTCCCTCTTTTGCAGTAGTAATTTGCTCCTCTTTCGTCCGTGGATGTAGGTCAAAGTCAATTGACCGAACCACGTATATCTGGTGTTCTGGTGTTCTTGTCTCGCTTTTATTCTTTCCGTTTTATTATCTTATTGGGTTGCCAAAATTACCTTGTGGTAAATTTCCTAGGGCTAGCTCTAATAAACTGGAGCCGAGAGCATTCCAGATGATATGTCAAAAGAAGAGCTTGCGGGTATGGATAAGAAGGCCCGATCAAGCATCATTCTAAATCTCTCTGACGAGGTTTTACAGGAGGTAGCTACGGAGACTACAGCTAAGAGCATGTGGGACAAGCTTAAAGCCTTGTACATGAAGAGGACAGTGGAGAATCGTCTATACTTGAAGCAGAGTCTGTATATGCTTCGGATGATTGAAGGTACATCTATACTCTCGCATCTTGATAAGTTTGATTCTTTGGTTATTGATTTGGAGAATATAGATGCAAAAATTGATGATGAGGATAAGGCTTTGTTACTCTTGTGTTCTCTTCCCCAATCTTTTAAGTATTTCCATGATACTTTGATTTATGAAAAAGAAACAGTTTTGTATCAAGAAATTAAATCTGCACTGAAATCTAAGGAGCAGATAGACAGGAATATCACTGGGGAAAGTAGAGAAAATCAGGCTGAGGGTCTGGTTGTTAGGGGGAGAATGGATAAAAGAGAATTTGACAGTAGTAGATCTAAATCTAGATCTAAATCCAGACATAGAAATTTGGAATGCAGATATTGTCATAAAATAGGACACATTAAATCTGATTGCTTTAAATTGAAAAATAAATTAAAGCAAAAGGAAAAATTTGTTGAAAAAACTACTGAATTCGCTGAAGTTAGTGTAGCAACTGATGAGATTGTTGGAAATATTTTTTCTGCTATTGATGACAGGACGAGGTCTAAAAATAAATGGATTTTAGATTCAGGTTGTTCTTATCACATGTGTCCCAATAGGAATTTGT